TTGTCTGTCACATGACTTGAGTCTCTTCCTCTCTCTGTCTGCCCCTTGTCCTGAGTCTTCCCCCTCTGCCTCATGGCTGCTGTCTGACCTGTCCAGCCCCCTTCATCTGACTGTTGGTGTGATCCTCCAGTGTCGCTTGCCTTTGTCTGTCTGACCCCTGGGGCTCCCTGAACCATCTTTGGGTTGGGTCTGACTACCCGGCGCCTCCTCTGTCAATCTGTCTTGTCTGGCTTGACCTCTCCATCTCTCCATCAGAGTGACTACCAGGACATTTCGGTTTGAGTGAGCGTCAGACTGTCTGCAGCCCCTCTGTCTGTCTGTTCTCCCAGTGCTCTCTGTCCATCCCCGCTCCCATCTTGGGCAACCTGGTTGGTGCTTGAGTGTTTGGGGGGAGCTGCCCTGGCAGCTGAGAGTTGGGGGCAGGTGAGAGAGGTGTCAGGGGTCTGTGCCTGACTAACAGGGATAGGGTCTGCTGGGCAGATAATGGGGTTGCCCTCTGGTCTGGGGCCTTTGCCCGCCTAGAGGGTTGTTGGAGAGGATAGGTGGCAGGTCCCAGGGGGCTGGGGCGCTCTGCCCTGTGTGCACTGATGATAAGGCCTGCGTCCATGTGGCCCTTCTCTGCCTGCCCAGGTCGAGCTTTGAGATTAGCCCTGGCCACTTTCCCTGCTGTTTCTTCCCTGGCATGAGTGCCCACCACATCCTTGCATTGAGGGCCCTCCGGGCATTTCAGGAGGCAGGGTCAGGAATCCTGCCACTTGGGGAATTCTGGGCGGCAGCTTTCTAGAAGGCAGGAGGGGACAACTGGTGTCTTCTTGCCCTTGGGAACAGTGATGGGGAAGACAGTGTTTTGCCCCGGGCCTTGAGAGTGACATTTTTGCATTTTGCAAGATGCAGCAGATCTCCAGGTGGCCTGAGGGGTGGCTGGCATCACTTTGGCCACATCCTGGGGCTGGATTTCAGGTTTGTCAGGTCTGAGGTTGCCTGGACTGTTCTTGGGCCACTTTAGACTGTAGGACGCTCAGACCAGTGACTGTGTCATCTGAAAATGGACATTTAAGGTGTCCCTCTTTTGACTGATGTTGGGTTTGCTTGCAGAGCTCACTCCATAGTCTCAAAGGCAGTTACGTTTGTAATAGTAGGGTCAACTCACTGACATGCAAAGAAGGAAGTTCCTGGGCCAGAGAGATTTGTGGGGTAGTGGGGGTGGATGGGAAGGGCTCATTTTGGGGGGGGATAGGGGAGACCTTTACAAAGAGATGGAGCCAGTGTTGGGAAGGTAGCTCTGGCAGAGGGTTCTGCATGTGCAAAATCCCTAAGGTGGGACCTGTTACTAGTTCAGAGCCTCCAGACCTTACTCTGTCCCTTTCATATGTGGGAGTCCTGGGGCTCAGTGAGGGTCCCACCTGACTCCAAAAAGAATTTCCCTAAAGAGGTGAGAGTTAGGGGTGGTGGTGGCACTTCTGTAAATAAAGAACTGAAGGGTTTGTGTTTATGCAAAACAGGCCTAGGGGATCCATCCAGACACCAAGGTCTCCACCTGCACCCCTTTCATAACTTGAGGTGGAGGACCTGTGGGGAGAGGAAACTGGGGTGGCCCCTCGTAATGCCTGATAAGATGACTTGAGCAAAGGTCACCCTGGTAATAGTGTCCACTTCTCTATTGGCCCCTGAGTCTGTGGGTGGTGGTGATGAACTCACTCTTTCCCTTAACAAGCCCTCCCAGTTGCCCCCTGTAGCCTAGAGAGGACCATCAGAGCCAGACATGGATGCTCCTGTGGGGTCTAGACTGGGGCAGGTACATGAACTGGGCTTTATAAGAAAGAAGCTGAGCTCTGACAGGACATTGCCTTTGGGGTTTTGGAAGATGAATAGGAGTGTGTATATGTGTGTGGTGTGTGGGTACATTCCAAGTACAGTGGTACCTCGGTTTTCGAATGTAACCTGTTCCGGAAGACTGTTCGAGTTCTGAAACGTTCGAAAACTGAGGGATCAACATCTGACAGCTAGGCCTCAGGATCTTGCCCTCAGCGGAAGCCGTGTGGCATGTTTGATTTCCAAGGCATGTTCGAAAACCAAAGCATTAACTTCCCGGTTTACGTCGTTCATAAACCGAAACGTTCATCAACAGAGACGTTTGAAAACTGAGGCATCACCGTAGTTGAAAGGGCTTGTGCAAAGGTGTGAAATATGGCTTTGAAGCTGCAGAGGTGGGAATTAGCTAAGAGTAGTAGGAGCTCCTACTTTCACACATTAACTCTCAATTCTCACATCTTCCTCAGGAGGCAAGTATTTTCATTTTCTGGAAACTGAGGCCCTGAAAGGCAAAGTCACATTCCCAAGGTCCCCCAGCCAGGCAGCCTAACTCTGACAATGGTTAACTGGCCTGGGCAGCAGCAGAGTGGAGTTCACCCAGGGCAGCACATTCTCCTGACCAGTCTGCAGTTGGTGCCTGGCCTGCATTTGCTCAGAAAGCCCCTCCCAGTTCCAGAGAAAGAGCCAGGCTGGTTTTGGTTTCATTTCCTGATCCCAGGACTGTGGGGGCGAGCTCAGGGTCTGGGGATGAGGTCATCTCCGGAACCTGGGGGAGGAAGGAAGTCCAGCTGCCAGACTCCTTCCAGGCGCAGAGATGCGAGGAAAAGTGACTTATTTAAACCTGGGACTCACCCCAATAGGGCCCACAGTCTGGTGGGGTAGGCAAGCAGGAAACAAGCAAGCAGAAAGACAAAAGAGTTCCTGTGTGTGAGTGGTGAGAGGAAGACAAAGCAGGGTCCAGAATAGTGTGTTGAGGCAGCGAAGGGACTGCTTGAAGACTGGTAACTGAGCTGGTCAGGGAGGGCTTTATGGAGGAGTCCTGAGGGATGAAAAGAAGAGCATCCCAGGCAGCAGGCACAGCCTGTGCAAAGATCCTGAGACAGGACTGTGCCTGGTGTGTTGTAGGAAGAGCAAGGAGCCCTGTGTGGCTGGAGTAGAGTGAGCAAAGGGGAGAGGAGAAGGTGTGTGTGT